TGGGCAGGCCCAAGGTGCCCAGGTTTCCCCATCTGACAAACTCCTGCCCTGTCTTGGCAGGTGGGCAGCCTCTTGGAGCAGAGTGCCCCGTGGCAGGAGCGCAGCACCGTGTCCCTGCCCCCCGGGCTCCTGGGGAGCAGCTGGGGTGAAGGGGCACCGGCCTGGGTCTTGCTGGAGGAGTGTGGCCTGGAGCTGGGGGAGGACACGCCCCACGTGTGCTGGGAGCCGCAGGCCCAGGGCCGCATGTGTGCACTCTACGCCTCCCTGGCACTGCTATCAGGACTGAGCCAGGAGCCCCACTAGCCTGTGCCCAGCATGGCCTGGCAGCTCTCCGGCAGGGCAGAGTGTTTGCCCACCAGCTGCCAGCCCTAGGAAGGCCAGAAGCCCAGCAGCCACGTGGCCAGTCTACCATGGGGCCCAGGAGCTGGGGAAACACAGTAAAGGTGGTGTACGAAGGAAAGGCTGGTAGCAGAGTTTTTGAGGGGTCCTGGATCTGGGTAGGGTGGGTAGGGGTGGGGACAGTACCTATGCAGGATCAGGAGGGACATCAGGGCCACGTGCAGGTGTGTCTGCATCGTCCGGCTTCTTTTGCACCCTAGAGCTAAGGGGAGCCCCATGCTGGGCTTGGCTGCTCTAGAGTAATGGGCCCGTGGCCCTGCCCACCCCTGTCTGTGTGTTTCTCTGCCTGTGAGGAAGGGCAGGGCGATTTAGGTGAGACAGTTCCACCAGGTGTGTCCATGGCTGAGGCATGGCAGGAACCTCTGCTTCAGGGAGCTTGAGGCGTGTGCTGCAGAAGGGCGTGGCCATCCTCGGCCCACAGGTGCTTTAGGGGTGCAGGTGTGACTGATGACAGGCCCTGCCTTCCTGGGGCCACACAGGAGGTTCCCGGGGAAGCAATACTAAAGAAACTTACCTTTAGTCCGTTTCACCCTCATCTGCTCGCCTGAGCTAAGAGCCTGGAGAGAGGAGGTCCCCTGGCCTGTGGGAATTAAGCAGGTCCAGAGTCACATCAAGTTGCTTACTTGCAGGAGCTCAGCAGCTGTGGCCTCCAGGTCCAGGGAGGGACACGCAACACTTGGTGTGGCCAGGGAGTTATTGTTCCTGGGAGAGTGGACAGCCTTCCTTGGTGGGGACCAGTCTACCTGCACACGGTGGCTAGCCTTCCCTGCTTCTAGCAGGGCACACAATGGCCACACAACTTGCAGAGCTTGCAAAAGAGAAGGAACAGTGGACTCAGCTACAACTGGGACATTAAATCCACCAGAAAACCTGGTATCCAGGCCCAACAGTGATCTTTTTTTTAAATTTTATTTTTATTTTTTTTATTTATGTATATTTTGAGACAGAGTCTCTCTCTGTCGCCAGGCTGGAGTGCAGTAGCGTGATCTCGGCTCACTGCAACCTCTGCCTCCCGCAGTTCTCCTGCCTCAGCTTCCCAAGTAGCTGAGACTACAGGCGCGCACCACCACACCCGGCTAATTTTTGCATTTTTACTAGATACGGGGTTTCTCCATGTTGGCCAGGATGGTCCCGATCTCTTGACCTTGTGATCCATCCACCTCAGCCTCTCAAAGTGTTGGGAATACAGGTGTGAGCCACCTCGCCCGGCGGACTTTTAAAAAAATTTTTTTTTAAGAGACAGGGTCCTGTTCTGTCGCCCAGGCTGCGTAGTGACACAATCATGGTTCATAGCAGCCTCGATCTCCTGAGCTCGAGGAGATCTCCCGCCTCAGCCTGCTGAGTAGCTGGACTATAAGCACATACCACCAGTCCTGGCTAATTTTTTAATGTTTTGTAGACATGGGATATTGCTATGAATAGTGACATTAACATTGAAATAGGAGACAAAGCAAACTCCAGATATCTCAGATCCAAGTTACAGAACTTCCTAGACACTCCCACCCACAGTGTAGGAGAAACTCAATGCCTCTCAGACTCATGGTCCTCCTTTGAAAACCCTTTCGGGTGACTCGAAAGGGTGAGTGGGGTAGGAGTAGCCCCGGTCCAAGAAAGCATTTGAAATGGGCAGGCACACAAGGCAAAGCCTCGGCGCCCTGAGACCATCAAGGCCATGCCACGCGATAGGCCACACCTGAGCCCCATCTTGAGTGTTGCGCCACCAGTGAGCTCTCGGCAACATTGCCCATTAGAGATTAGGCATCAAGGCCAAGACTGTCCTGGCCCGCTGGCTAGAGGTGGAAAGGGAATGAGTGTCAGGGTGCACCTGCCCTCTTGCCGTCCAATCTTAGACCCCGTTGGAAGATTTGCCCTGGGGTGGGCTCTCTGCAGGTGGGTCTGATGGACCCCGGGGGCCACAGCATCCCCATGGAGGGACCAGCCCTCTGTGCCACCTGGAGCCTCCCAGGAATTCCAGCAGGGAAGAGTCACACTCCAGAGACCAGGTGGACTTTACATGAACCTCACTCCTCTGGCAGGGCAACCAGGTTCTGGGCAGTGCCAGAGCAAGGCGGGGCTGGACACATTCCTAACAGGCAGCTGTGTGGTGCAAGCCATGCCTGTACTGCAGACAGCCTGCTGCAGGATGGCACGGACTCTCCTGGGCACCATGAGGGAGGGGAGGAGCACGGGGTGCTGCCTGCACACCGCAGTGCGCTCCCCGCCTGAGCCCCCATCTGGAGTGAGCATAACATCACTGTTGGGTTTGCCCGCAAGACTGTCCAGCGTGCTGTGCGGTGTGGGCATGCCTCTGCTAGGCTGGCAGCACATGCTTGCCCTGGGGGCTGGCTCCTGGTTGCAAAGTGAGCAAGGAGGCCAGGCTTGCTTCCCTCTTTGGAGCTGCTACCGAGAGGATCCATGTGGCTGTGTCCTAAAACCCGTCCCTGCCAGTGCTGAGGGTGTGCCCCCCATGGGTGCTCCCAGCCTGTCCTTGGAGGTGCGGACCTCGGACAGATGGCTGGCTTGAGAGCTTCCTGAAGGCTAGCACGGACGTCCAAGGTGCTTCCATCTGACCTTCACTGGGCATCTGGTGGCCTCTGGCCTCTCTGACTTTCTATTGATCTGTTTCTTGTATGTTGAATCCCGTTTTGGTATCTGCTGTGGAGGATCCAAACTAATCCACCAAACCTTGCCCCCTGCTCCACAGAGACCCATGCCCTTGACCTGATCCTCAGCTTCCTGCATATGACCTGCAAAGAGACCCTCACCCCAGTGCTGACAGCTCTAACCCCATCCATTCCGTGCCTGTTAGACCAGAGTGCATCTTCTCTGTCTTACGGTTAACCCAACCTGACCTGGTCGTAGCCTGTGCCTGGAGCCTGCCTGACCTTTAACCCTGCTGCCAAACCGGCTCTTTACCTGGGGCCATGTCGGGGCCTATGGCTTATGACCCCAGCCTGAGCCAGATCTTGGACCAGGGTCAGCTCCCATAACCACATTCGAAACAGATGCGGCCGGGCGCGGTGGCTCAAGCCTGTAATCACAGCACTTTGGGAGGCTGAGATGGGAGGATCCCGAGGTCAGGAGATCGAGACCATCATGGCTAACACGGTAAAACCCCGTCTCTACTAAAAAATACAAAAAACTAGCCGGGCGACGTGGCGGGCGCTTGTAGTCCCAGCTACTTGGGAGGCTGAGGCAGGAGAATGGCGCGAACCCGGGAGGCGGAGCTTGCAGTGAGCCGAGATCCGGCCACTGCACTCCAGCCCAGGCGACAGAGCGAGACTCCGCCTCAAAAAAAAAAAAGAAAGAAACAGATGCTCAACGCTTTCCATCCATGTGTGTTTATTTTAGATGTTTTCTGTATGGGAGCTGGGGAGACAGGTCAGTAGGACCCCATGCCTGCTCCTGAGGCCCCAGTCTGGGGAAATGGTCCCAGCCCTTCACAAGGCTGCGCACACGCCCTGTGCACGTGTGGAGGCTTCACTGAGGGGGAGGCTGCAAAGGAGGCCTTGAATGTGAGGACATTTCCAGGCAGGCATCCTAGGTGCAGGAACCTGCTGTACAAAGTCAGAGAGGTGAGGGCACAGCACTGCCGGCTCCCAGAACAGCCTCTTCCTCATGTGTCCAGTGGCGCGTTCCTCATTTAACCCTGGGAGAGGTGCTGGGGTAGTGTCATGAGTGCTCAGTCTGACTGGGCGTGCACACAGGACCCCCACATCTGAACCCCCAGGTGTGATCCAGGGCCTACGTGGTCCAGCTTGGGGGGAGGTCGGGGGGGTGATGATGGCTTGGCTGAGGGGGCACAGCAGGTGTGACCGGGAGACAGGTCAACACTCTTGAGCAGAGAGGATGCCCGCCAGGAGCCTCAGGATGCTGGCAAGGAATGGGTTGCAGGATGAGGATCGGGGGTGCAGCTGCAGGGCCGGCCAAGGCCTGGACAGGCCACAGCGTCCTGTCCAGGCATGAGGTGGAGACCCAGGAGGGCAGCTTATGGGACCACCAGCTTTGGGGTCCCCCACCAGACTCAAGAGGCCAGGTGCCATCTGGGCCAGGAGCCAGGCCCAAGGTGGGGCACAGGGCACGCTCCAGGGGGCTGTGAGAACAAGGGCCCTGACGGGGACAGATGGGTGCCGGCTGTCCCTCTGGGTCGCCATCAGGGTGGTGGGTGCCTGAAAAGGGGGCGCGGTGGTGGGGGGTGGGTGCGGACACTGGCATCCAGCACCAGGCCCAGGGAGCCCCTCCGTCGGGGTGGGGACGGGCTGCTGTGCCCGTGGGGTCCTCGAGTCGGACCCTGGCCCGCGGGTCCCAGGCCCCAGCCTCAAACTCAGCGGGGTCCGGAGCAGCCCCAGCGGCCCGCCAGGCTCGGGCGCTGGAAGGGGCTGTCGGCGAAGACGGGTGGGGGCCGGGCGGGGCGCGGGGCGAGGCAGAGGAGGCGGGGCCCGCGGGGGCGGCCCCGGGCGCGGGCCAGCATCGCCACCTGCTGGGCGGACACGTGCGCTGCCGCGGCCACAGCCGGCTCGGGGTCGCTCTGCAGCCGCCCTAGGTCTGCGAAGAGATCGCAGCTCAGGCTGGGGAGCCCAGGAGGGTCGAGCGCCCGGGCCCCGGGCCCTCCACCCACCGCTCCCGTCCACTCCGCCCTAGCACCAGCCACCTCTCCAGAACACCATCCCCTGGCAAGGTGGGGCCTTACCCTGGAATAGGGAGCTCAGCAGGTCCTGGTTGACGTAGCCGGGGCTGGCGTGGTGGACAAGGAAGCCTGGACCACAGCAGATGCATGACTGCGGGCCCCACAGCCCCACAGGGTGGGACTGGCCCAGCTCCCACAGCCCTGGTGCCAGGGGCAGTGTGACCCCGGGCGGCCTCACCTATGAGCACGGCAGCTGCCCGGCGCAGGGGGTCCTGTGGACTCCGCAGGTAGCCCTGGGTCTGGCTCAGGAAGTTGGGCACGTGGCCTGGGTATCGCTGAACCTGGGGACAAAAGGGCTAGTGGCAGGACAGGAGGGTGATCCTGAGTGTGGAGGAGGCTGCAGAGCTGAATCCAGGGGCCGGGGTTCCAGGGGAGCCCCCCAAGGCAAGTGGCATGGTCTGAGGCCTTGGACTTGTCCCACCAGTAGCCTGACTATCTGGTTTGGCTGCGGTAGAAACGGTTTGGGGGCCCCCGTGAACCCTGGAACAAGTGGGCAGCTGATCATACCCCCTTGTGGTCGGCTTGCTTCCCCTACTGACCAGGCGGCGGCAGAGGTGGCTCAGGGCCTCGGGGCTGTCATAGTGGGCCACGGTGACCATCTCCTCCAGCAGGCCCCAGCAAAAGGCCTGGTCGCAGCGGGCCAAGGTCCACTCTGAGCTCTGGGATAGGGGAAGGGAGCCGGGTCAGGGGTCCAGGAAGTAGAAAGGCAAAAGGTGGGGGTGAGAAGAGGGGGAGCAAGGGCATCAGGTGAGGGGCAAAAGAGCCCAGGGCAGGGGCCCGGAGTGAATCTCAAGGGAAGAGCAGTAGTAACCTGGTCGCCCGTGAGGCCTACCCCTGAGGTCCCTGGGATGGGGGAGTCCCTGACCTGTAATTGTCGGAGGGGAGGCACGGTGGGAGAGGGGAGGCACGGTGGGAGTGGGGAGTGTTGGATGGCATAGGGGTGGCATGGTGTGAGGGGCAGCTGACCTCAGCAGCGTCCCTGCTGGGGTCATGCAGGTGCAACAGGAGCGGCACGAGACTCTGCAGCACCAGCTTCCGCAGGGGGCCACGGAGCCCCAGCCGGAGCCCGCCCCGGCCCCGGCGCACCAGAGACCCAAGGAGCCCGACCGCCGAGGCGCGGATTGAGTCCCGTGTCTGCGTGGGAGGGCGCCGTCAGGGCGGGCGGAGCATGAGAGGGGCTGCAAGGGTGGGAGGGGGTGGCCAGCGCGGAGCGAGGAAGCGGGGGTCTAGGGAAGGCTGCTGACTCAGTGCGATCTGGGGACAGGGAACAGGGCCTGGAGCTGGACCTGGTTGGGAAGCCTGGGGTGCCCCTACAGGGGGTGGGGCTTGGAGGGATGGGATCTGGAAGGAAAAGTCTAGCGGGGAGGAGCTTGGCGGGACACGGCCTTGGAGGGGCGGAGCTGGGCGACAGCGGGCGGGCGGGGCGGGAAAAAGCCTGGGGGGAGAGACG